GGACTCTGCCAGCTGCTGGTTGTGGCCCCCTGGGGCAATCCTCTGCGCCTCTCGAGGGGGGCGGGGGCTTTTCTGGTTGCAGCCTCCCTGGAGTTCCTGTGCTCTGGGGCAACTCCTGGATCTCTGGGACTTTGAGCTCCCTCCGTCTCCTGCACATCTTTCGGGGGCAGATTTGTGGCCCCTCACACTCTCTACTGGACGCTCCTATAGGGAAACCATACATAAACAAGCGCGTATACACATACAGGTGCTCACATGGTGCTCTCACAAGTATGGACTTGGGCACGTTCAACACAGGTCTTAAGGCTATGGTGGGCACTTAATGCACTGTGATTTATTATCGTGTGATTGTTCAGTTAAACAATGTTGATTATATATTTCTTCATCAAGTTGACGCAGTGATAGCTTGATCTTGTTGTATTGTTGTTGTGTCCCTTTTTTTCCTGCTTCTTTTTCTTCTCTCTTTCTGCAGGTCTAGAAGCAGATTCTTGTTCATTATTGTTTATTTTTGTGGAACCCCTCCCCCCCAATCTTTTGTCTCTTCCTTTCTCTTTCACCTCTGTCTCCATGTCTGGTCAGAATTAAAAAGCATTCAAAAACAATAACAATAAAGTTTTAAGTATCAGGCGTGACATTAAAAGCAGACGCTTTGATGCTCCACCTGAGAGTAAATCTGTAAGGCTTGTCACCAGCATTCAGACATCAATTCTGTTTGCTTCACAGCCAGACATTACACACACACACACACACACAAAAAGACATAGGGGAAAAAATTCAACAGTCGGATTTTACATAAGTTTAAAGGTGTGGGCGTGGCTAAGCCTCAAACTATGACCTTTCGCCATTACATTCTTTGACGCAATAACTTCCATGCGCATTATCAGATCTATAACAAACTTTGTGTGTGTGATCACTGACCACATCTCAAGACAATGACAATGTGGACAGCTGACATCACCTAAGCTCCGCCCCCTGACAACAGGAAGTCTGTTGTTTTATGGTGAAATGATTATATTTGTCCCCTCTAATTGAGTCAACATGACACTTAGGTCATGCGCTGTCTTCATGATGCTGTCATGACCATTCATTTCTGAAAGCTTTCCAGAAAGGGAGGGGCTTTGATGCCATGGTGAATTCTGGCATGACGCCATTACCTTACATTTGACCGTACCTTCCACAAACAGCCTCCCATCTACACGAGACTGAACACGGCATCCAACAATCATACTCTTTAGCCAATGATGCACAAACGGTTGGTGAACGTTGCCTAATATCACCACAGTGCCCCCCACATACCTTTAAAACTGTAATAACTCCTACAGACGAGGTCGCAACAGAACCAAACTTGCTATATGTCATCCCAGAATGCCACCTCTAACAATCCTGTGCTCATTGGTTGATAACGCTTCAGCTCCGCCCCCTAACAGATTTTAGGCCCTGAATAACACATGCATAATGCAATTCACACCAAACTGCACACAAATGATTGTTGTCAACCTATAAACTGCTCCATGGGATATTTTCCTAAATTTGGGACAGTGCCCCCTAGATACAATAAAACCTTTGTAACTTCTACAAAAAAGCTCCAAACGGTATCAAACATGGTGGGAGTCATCACGCAACTGCAATCGACACATGTATGTGCTCACTACTTCAAATCACTTTAACTCCGCCCACTTACAGCCTTTGGGCTGTAGATGACCCATGCAATGTTTGATTGATGCCAAATTAACAGAAAACCATCTTTGATGACCAAAGATGACCTCCATGGGAATTAGTTGTAAATGGTCACAGCGCCCCCTAGATTGGTTCAATTTTCATTAACTTCTAAAGACAATTTCAGAATGGCATTATACGTGGCTTGTGTCATCACGTGACTGCACCAAACACATTGATGTGGTTGTTGGTTCAAATCCCTTTAGCTCCACCCCCTTTCAGCTCTCTGGCTCTAGAAAGCACACGCAACGTCTGATTGATGCCAAACTACCACAAAACCATCTTTGCTCCCTAAGAGGACCTCAATGGAATTTTTATGTAATTGGTCACAGCGCCCCCTAGATAAGAATAAAAGTTGATTACTTCCTAATACAAGGTCAGAATGGCATTAAACTTGGCTTGTGTCACCACATGACTGCACCAAACACGTTGATGTGGTTGTTGGTTCAAACCCCTGTACCTCCACCCCCTTTGGGCTCTCTGGCTCTAGATAACACACACACAATGTCTGATTGATGCCAAAATAACAGAAAACCGTCTTTGTTAACCAAAGCTGACCTCAATGGGATTTTTCTGTAGTTGGTCACAGCGCCCCCTAGATAACTTTAACCTTCAATAACTTAAAAATACTTGGTCAGAATAGCATTAAACTTGGTAAAGATAGAGTATCCCCTACAAATGGGGTGACGGTGGCACAGGAGTTAAGTGCTCGCCCCGTAATCGGAAGGTTGCAGGTTCAAGCCCCGCTCAGTCTGTCGCTGTCGTTGTGTCCTTGGGCAAGACACTTAACCCACGTTGCCTGCTAGTGGTGGTCAGAGGGACGGTGGCGCCAGTGCTCGGCAGCCTCGCCTCTGTCAGTGCGCCCCAGGGCAGCTGTGGCTACATTGTAGCTCATCACCACCAGTGTGTGAATGTGTGTGTGAATGGGTGAATGACTGATTGTGTTGTAAAGCGCCATGAGGGGTCCGAGGACTCTAGAAGGTGCTATATCAAATACAGGCAATTTACCATAGAGTATCCCCCTAGTGGTGGGATGTGTAATTTAATGCTGGGAGGTGCGAACGAGGAGACCGTTCGCGGTTTCTGGTGTCAGGGTGGTCGACATTTCTATTCCGCAGACGTGCCTGGGTGCCCCAGGCTGCCGGCCAGGCCGGAGAGGCGCGGAGCTGTGAGGGCCGAACGATGCTGCTTGCAGCTTTAATAATTTTTGCTGCAGAAACTGTTGCAAATACTTGAAACTTTACCCATTATTATGCAAAAATTATGCAGATTTTCATTAGGTTTTTATTTAATTCAAAGTATTGTGTTCTGCATTGTTTGATAAACACAAATGGTTTTAAACATAATTAGCAGCTAATGTAGTTTGGCATTGAACAGGGTTCTAAACTTATATTTATAAATTAATTTAAAAGGTCTTAAATTATTAATTCAGTACATAAATACAAATGTTTTCAGTTTTCACCACTTTTTAAAGGGACTTTACGGACTTTTGAATTTTTATGCTCGCGACTGCCCCCTCAGGCCAAAAGCGCAACGGCAGCTTCAATAGTAGGCTCGTGCAGGAGGCGCGCATGCTGTACGTGCACACTCAACGAAAATAACAGCTGAGACAGTCCCGTGTGTGTGTGTGGCCCGGAGGACAGGAGATCGCGCAGCTAAATAATTAAATAATTTGGTTCTGTACCTTTCTCTGCAGCACAGCCAACAAAGGTTTAAGATGGGTCAGTCCTCCTGCATGCTCAGATCATGCCCTTCCCTTGCTTGAAAAATTGTTCCATAATGAAAGTTGAACCCACATCTTTTTTTATCTGTGAATTCAATGCCGTTCTTCGAGTCTCAAATAAAAATTTGGGCATCTTAATGTAAAAAAATATACCATTAATGTAAAAAAAAGAAACTCTAAATGAACTATGTTCACACCCAGAATCAAACCCAGGTCTTCTGCATGGGAGTCAGACATCTTACAAGGTGAGTTACACTCTAGTAACATTCACAGTATCTGTAACTTTTATATCCTTGATGACAGCTGAAACAACGTCAAACCAAAGAACGGTTCGAAGCGAAAATGGCTATTTTGTTGCTAATTTGCAGGAAATATCTAGAAGAAAGTAGCTAAGGGTCCTCAGAAATGTAGCTAGGTTCATCACTAGACGTTAGGAACAGCGACAAAGTCACTGAGTTGGCACTACCTCACACTCTGCTGCTAGAGCTACTGATAGCAAATGCTATGGGCTATGCCTGAGCGTGAACGCGCATGAAGCAGCCTGCTCGACCCGAGCAGCTCTCTTTTTCTGTGATTTTACAGAATAACAGGCAAACACAGTAAAAATGCCAGGGCTCATTCTACAGGACCAGGGCATTGCAGGAGAATGTATGAAGAAGAAAGTTATTATTTCTATACATGTTTTAGCTGTCAAACTTCCATAATGCCCCTTTAAATTTAAACGAATATTCTGCCAACTTAATTGTAACTTAGATTTGTTGTCCTATTCAAAAAGATTTGCTTTTAAATCAATTGACATTTAAAATAAAATATATAATAGAATATATTCACAATCATTCCAAAACGTTTTGTCTTTTATTTATGTTTATCATGTCAAATTAAAATGTATGCTTAACATAAGTTTAGGTTCAATTTAAATAAATTGACATCAGCTAAAAATACTTAAAGGCCATGCAGAGAGCTCCTGTTTCATTTAAAGTGTCAACATTTAGTAGAAATAAATAAAACTGCTGGGGAATAAAATTGATTAAAAACTTAGAGGTATTTTCAAAATTTTATTATATATAAAACACAAATGGTGAAGCAGAAATAAACGCAGGGAATTAAATCTTAGTTTCAGATTCACACAATGTCAACACATCAAAATGCTGATTTTAAGCTAAAGTAGTGAAACAAATAACTTGAGATTTTTCTTGTTAAATATTTTTAAACCAACATTCTACCAACAGGTTGTTTTCACACATGAACACTTTTTTCTGCCACCAGAAGTCATCAGATCTTTGCTAGCAGAAATTGTTTTGTGCATAAAAAGCCTAAATATTCTACCTTGACCGTTCTCTATTTTGCCCCACTAGACGGCGGTAAATGCACAAAACTAAAGAAGCTTAAGAATTGTTGCAAAGAACATAAGTAATGAAAATATAAATAACTAACACTTAGATTTTATTATCCAGCAAGTAAAATGACAACGACAGTCATTTCTAGGAAAATACACCACCAGTTAACAGCATTCACATTAAAACAAAATCATGTGATAATTAAAAGAAATAAAAGCAGTTTGAACATCAATTTCAGATCAATGAGATCAGTTTGTTTTTTTAAGGGATTCTTACTTTAAAATAACAAACCTACTTCAAATCTGCAAAAAAAAAAAAAAAAAGATAATGAGTTTGAACACCAAACCAATAAAAAATAAGATATTACAGATAATGCGTTTGAACACCATGTGTTAACCGTATAAAATAAACTGAAGCAAATGGGTTTCATTATTATTGAATTAGCAGATGTCAACTCCTTTTAGATTTTAAATATAATTTATTCCCATATTTATTTTATATTCGATCATTTAAAGGTATTTTAAAAAGTAACACCAAAATAAACTCCTAAATCATAAACTTCAATGATATTTTGTCAGTTGCGGATCTTCAGTTCTAATGAAAATATTGTAAATAAAAATTAAAACACTCGTTCTTTCATCTTAAACTAGCACAGTTTATTATTATTTGCTAAGCAGATATGGAGAGATGGATATTTAATTAGGCTAATAAATAAAACTGAAATGTTGTCCTTTTGTAATAAAAATATTCACCTCCCTTTACACAGAAGTAATAAAGTCTCATGACTGAATAAATACGCCACTCACACACTTCATATCCTGCTGCTCACTGATGGAGACGTCGACATAGAACTATTACCAGTCCTGTAAAACCATCAGATGTTCTGGTTAGGTGTACCATTTGTGGAGAGTCACAGGGGTCACTGCAGTTCAGGCATCTTGCCGTCATACTGTGGGGGCGGAGTGATGGGTTCGATGGTCACAGGGTTCTGCGTGGGGCTGCGGATCTGGAGCCGGAAGTCTTTCAGGTGCAGCTTGTCCGACTTTATCCTCCTCACACGGAGGGGCTTCAGTAAGCGGCTGGCTTTGCTGCCACTGCGTGTGGGCATGCTGGGGGTATGAGCGAGGCTGGCGGGATCAGCGGCAGGGTCAGCGGTGGGTTGACCTGAAGTCGGCGTTTGATCATTGAGAGGGGCGTCCTCTCTGGGAGCGTTGGTGGGCTCTGTTCTCTCGTTTTCCACGGCAGCGATGATGTCCTCATAGGATGGCAGCAGCGTATTGTTCCGCCTCAGGTTGCTCTGGCGGGACGGGGTAGTCCTCACTGCCGATGACCTCCTCGTAGCTTGGCACGTTGTAGCATTTGGGTCCACTCTGTTGGAAAAAGACAAGAAAAAAAGATAACACTTTACAATAATAGTCCCTTTATTAATGCTATTTAGTATGTTATTTAGCATTAATAAACCAAAAAATGTCAACAACTGCCTAAAATATTATGTAATGTTTACTAAACAGACATCACACCTGGCCCTTTGTCCTAATCTTAAGGAAACTTAATAGTTAACAATAACGGTAACATTAAATAAGGGAGCCTTTGTTTATTTAAGTTCAAGTTTATTATTTATCAAGTGCCAAATCACAACAAGAGTCGTCTCAAGGCACCTCACACAGTAAACATTCCAATACAGTTCAGTTCATTAAGCCAATCAGTAAAAAGTTTCCTATATAAGGAACCCAGCAGATTGCATCGAGTCACTGACTAGTAATCAGTGACTTTACAGCAGTCCTCATACCAAGCAAGCATTTAGTGACAGTGGAGAAGAAAACTCACTTTTAACAGGAAGAAACCTCCAGAGGATCCTGGCTCACTATAAGCAGCCATCCTCCACGACTCACTGGGGATTAATGCTTAATAATGCACTGAGTAACGTTAATAAAGGGACCCTTTGTTTATTAATGCTTATTAATGCACCAAGTAACATTAATAAAGGGACCCTTTGTTAATGCTTAATAATGCACAAAGTAATGTTAATAAAGAGACCCTTATTGTAAAGTGTTCCCCCGCCTAACAAAAGCAACACAGAACAAAATCGAATTCCTAATTTTATGCCAATTTAGAGCCAGTCTTTCTGATGTGACCAGAGCGACACATAGCTTTAAAGCACTATCTGAAGATGCTTTTCAGTTGAGCAAGCTAACATTATGGTGAGGTGTACTGCAAAAGGTAGGGGACTGATCATTCA